TTATAAATTGGGAAATGCAGTGTTATAATAAGGAAATAATATCATAGGGCTTAATACAAATAAAGTGATTTATTTGTCTTTTCTGTACGTGTGCGTAAAGCACACAGTGCATAAAGCAATCCTCTTAAAAAAGGGTTTTGTCGGAACATTGTGGGGGACGGCGGTTCGTGGAAAGAAAATTTACTTAGACAATTTTTAGAAAAGTAATCTAGTCTTTAATCAATTTTAGAAGAACTTTTGTGGTCATAATTGCCTATTTTTGTTTGTAACGTTTGCATAAAGCCTATTTTATGCAAACTGCTAGACCGATTTAAAAAATCCATTCATTAACGAAAAGCTACATCATATCGCATGATATAGACTATAAACTTTGCAGGCGAAGTCTCGGGAAAACAGCTAGTTACTAATAACCTTTCAATTAAGGTCATTACACTTTTGGCCCTATCAAGACAATTGCAAAGCATTTCACCCTATTTTTATTATCCAATAAACGTTACCATTTTTGCCAGTTTTTGATCCCCTAACATTTTTTTTAAGATAAGTAAGTATCGGCAACCTTTTGTAATTATCTGAGGTATTTATGACGTAATACTCTAAAGGAGAAACAGTAAAGAAAAAAGATTCAGAAAAACCACGAAGCGTTTCGAGAAAAGTCGTTTATCTTTTGGCTTGGCTTTGGCGGACCACTGCACTGGTTCTAGATACTTGATTTGTTTTTGCCCTTGAGATTCTTAATATTACTTAATTTGCCCGTTTTTAGGATCTTGCCTAAAAACTAACAAGACCTCTTACTTTTGAAATAAGACATTGTTAAGATCCTCTCCCAATTATAAATCAGTGTAATCTTATAAATAGTTTCTTAATTTGTATGTTTGTTTGTATAAAGTAGTATTCCGAAATACTGAACCGATCATGAAAAGACTATTACATATAGGCATACATATATTCTGCGGGCGAAGTCGCGGGTAAACAGCTAGTGATGAAATAAATAACACGAACACAACGTATGAATCATCGCTTTGCTCATTCTTATTTTAGGGCACCTAACGATTCACCCCACACATTACGACCGCATAAATTTTAAAGAGGGCGCATGTTGCTAAATAAACTATAAACCATATAATACTAATATAATAAAATGACAAGGGTCGATCATAGGACGGATGACCAAAAGTTTATGCTCGAGCCCCTCCGTGTTTCGGAAGACTCGTCAAGCCGTCGGTCTTGGCTGCTTTTGCAGTCATTAAGACCTATCAATCCCCACTGGGCCCAGGTGGTGGGTCATGGCCCATTCTTCCTATTCGATTCCATTCTAATCCATTCATAGGATAAGCTTGAGCTCCAACTCTAGGAATATTAATAGACTAGTGATGGTGATAATAATAAAAAAGGTCTGCAAGTAATTGTCTTATTGATATTGTCTTTATTTGTCTTATTGATTAGCCGTTGCATGGTTGAATGCAATTTCAAGAAAGCATTGCATAGGTACTTAAAATTTCAAGTTCATTTACGCGCGGAGTTTAATTTGCCACATCACGGTTATTTATTTATATTGAACAAGATACATTCACAATGTAACAGAGGCCAATGGCCAGCAGTAGATCATTTTGACGCCTGACTGGATACAGTGATTACTTAGAATAAGACAGTTGATTACAGGCACACTTTGACATGGTCACACTGAATCAAAAGGGCTTTTCTTCATTAAGAATACGACTGTGTTATGTTTCTTTAGTCATCATCATCATCATGATTGCTGCTAACGACTGTACAAGCAGTATAAAAGTATTTTTTTTATATATAAATAGCTTTCCACCAGCAGATTTGCCCGCGTGGTCCTATCCTTTATTTTATACATATAAACTATTGTCTTGAATCACTCTGTATAGTGATAAAACCGCATTAAAATCTTTTGTGTAGCTAAACGATCGTAGCGTACAGACACCGGGAAGCGACAGTGTTTTATACTGATTTGAGTTGAAGTTTAGATCATCAGCTTAAATTTTAATTGGTTTTGTCTTAATACTGTAAGGGTTTTGTACAAAGAAATAATCTCTGAATGTAAATAATGTCATAATTGTAAGCGTTCTGTCACAGTAAAAAAAAATCTGGGAAAATAAGTCATAGTCAAATGAAATCACTTTATGATTGGACGTCTATATTGAGCACGAAATAAAACCGTGGGAGAGCCACGCTTCGGCATGAATGGGCCGGCTCGACCGGAGTGATACCACGGCCTCACAGAAAACCGACGTAAAGCAACGCTTGCGTTGTGTTTCGTCGTGTGAGTGAGGGTACCGGAGGCCGAACCCCTCCCTATTCCCTTCCCTCTACCCCTCAACCCTTCCCTCCCTATGATCATATTCGTCCCTCAAAGGCCGGCAGCGCGCTTGTAGTCCCTCTGGTGTTGCAGGTGTCCATCGGTGACGGTAATCACTTACCATCAGGTGATCCGTCTGCTCGTCTGCCCCCTATCCCATAAAACAACAATAAATAAGCATCATCATCATCATTCCCCTGCCCTTATCCCAATTTTATCTTCCTTCCTTTCTCACCATATCGTCTTTCACACAATCCGTCCATCGTTTCTTTGGTCTTCCTCTTCCTGTATAGCCATCCACGTTCATGCTTAAAACCTTTCTCACAATATTTTCTTCCTCCTTTCGCATAACATGGCCATACCACGACAACCGGTTTCCACATAACTTTTCGGTTACCGGTGCCACTTTCAAACTTCCTCTAATATACTCATTTCGTACTCTGTCCATTCGCGTAACACCACACATTCCTCTTAACATTCTCATCTCAGCTGCATGCAGTTGTCTTTCATTCATCGCTTTTATGGCCCAACATTCTGATCCATACAGGACAGCAGGTCTGACCATGATCATATAGATCTTTCCCTTCAGTTTAAGGGGAATGCAATAAGCATCCCTCTCGAGAAATAAAGGATGTTGAATTTGAACGTGCTTACCGGTGCATGGGTGTTTTACGCGTAGATAACTATACCCCGGAATCAGATAGAATACACCTTTGCAAGCTCCATACTATGGGTTACAATAGAATAGGAAATTGCCGTTTCGCAGTATCGACAAATTAAAAACTTTGTGGAGTATAAATATTCAAAAAGTTGTAGAATAGGGACAATGCCGGGTAAAGAAAAGAGATTCTATTTAGTTAGTCATTGTGACAATAGAAAAATATTAGATACGTATTTTTTTACTTCAATCTAAAATAATATGCATTAAAGTTGAGGTGTGGAGGCTCGTTACGTCGCAGCTATGTAGAAAATGAACAAAAGTGTCAAGCGATATTTCAACTCATTGTTCCGTTGTAATTTATTGATTACGCAAAAAATAAAAACAAATATGTTTGATATTCTTCAATAAACTACATGATGTTCAGACAAAAAAATAAATATCATCATGCCTATTACAACACAAACGCCATCTATTAATAGTCAATAAATTTTTACTTTCCATCTCTACAAGCTACAGGGATTTTGATCACCAATATTATACGACCGCGAATGTAATGTAAATGAGTCACAACAACTTAATACGTGACTAGGGCGCAATCGGTTGAGATAAATAAATTAAATTGAAATATAATTATCTGGTGTATAATAAACTTTATTGCTTGTAAATAAGATACAATACTTCACGGTTGACCTTCTAATAATTGTAAAATGAAAAAATGAAGGCGTTTTAACGTAATCAATTTATAATAATATCGTGATGTTTACAGTTTTGTTTTTATATAGGAAAAGGAGGACTTAACTAATATAATAGATTCTTTATTAGAAATAGATTAGTATTCGTTCTAATATAAAAATTGAAGGTCTGTGTGAATGCTGAGGTTAAGCTTGGAGCCCTTTCCCAGGATTCCGATCTATTTACTATTTTGCATTCTCTCCTTACTTTTCTGCGCTTATTCACGCTTTTAGTTAATTACGAGTACAAATGGTCTTTTCTTTTCACGTTTATAAATTGTCTAATGGATTTCTGTTAAAGGGCTTTTTTAAAATTTCCGCTAATCAAATATTCATTTATCACTAACATTCTTCACTCTCGTCACTTAATACTAGCTTTTCGCCAGTGGCTTCTCCCACGTGGTCCCTAGGGAACAGTTTAGTGGAATAAAAAGTAGCCTTTATGTTAATCCAGTCTTAGAATTATCCGTATGCTAAATTTCATCAAAATCCGTTCAGTAGTAAGTAACTAACATCCAAACACTCGCCTTTATTATTAGTAAAATAAATTGTCACTTCGAAAATATTATGAAATTGTACTATTTATACATACTATTTATATTAGGTAAACATTTGACCTAACATATTTTCTATCCCAAGAGGTTATAGCTACATCGCTAAACAAAGCTTATAACAAAATATTACTAGAAGTTATTTTCACAGGTTATATAAAAATAGAGCGATTCTTGTTTTAATTTCTATAAAGAAATTTTTAATAGCTCGCCATTTTAGCTACGACTTGTAGCAAATGCTACGAATGGTTGCAATCATCTGCAACAACGGACTATTTTTTTATTTTAGCTGGAGTTATGGCAGTTAAGAATCTGTCAAATAAAATTATATATACACAATCCATTTAGATCATATACATTTAATTTCTACTAACTGTATATTATATTTAAAAAAAATCGATTCTTTCAAATTCTTGATAATATAAATATTTTTGTTATTATCTTTACTCTTTGCTGCTGTTAAATCAAGCAAAACGATTTACTTATATGTAAATTATTGGGCTTGAGCACAAATGATACAGTTCATCACGTGAGTTTTAATGAAACGCGAGTTTTGCAGTTATTGACCACTCACCTAACATTTTTAAAGATAAAAGAAAAGAATAGCCAAATCTGTAGTCAACTGTTTAATATTACAGTTGCTTAATTGTTATTAGTAAACAACCTGTCCATACAACAAGCAAGGGAGCGCAAGGGTATTCGTTTGTTGTTTTCAGACATGCGCGACATTCTTGATCACTCTCTGAACAACGCTGGTACGAGGCGCTCGCGAACCGCGTTGCTAATATTAGCTGAAAGCATTACCCCGCGCCGCGCTGGTATTTTCCGCTAGGGCGGGCGGCGCGCGCACCTCCCGGGACCCTCAAACTAATGTCCGCCATGCTAGCGGCACCACGTCCAAAGGATATGTAAAAATTACCAGAGCTTTATAGTGGCAGTGAAGTGAACATAGTGAAAACGGAACTGTGTAACTGAAATGTGAAGTGCAAGTCGAAACAAACACAAGGTAATACGTCAAAACAAACAAGGATTCATATAATAATATATGTATAAATGTTTAGAGCTTATTGAACAATATAATCATTCTATAGACTGTAAAACATGCCATAATTAGTATACTATAATAAAAATCGTGTAGGTTGTGGTTTTTGTTTACAATATCACACCAATTTAATTATCTAATTAAGAAGCAATCAATTATAAAGCAGGGATTGAAAAAATATTAATAGTTGTACGTTGTTGGCTCGGTGTAGTTTCTTTTAATCTAAATCAGTGTATGAACAGTGGCATGGCAACCTATGTCTCTGACCTATGTTTAATGTATAGTTAACAAGATTTGATCAATTGCAGTGCTTCTAAAACTATTAAAAAACAATTTAATTTACCACTTACATTATGGACCTTTTATCTAATATTTATTCTTTCTTATTAGATATTTTCATGAAACATACTTCATGTCGGCATTAGTTATAAATAAGACATTTCGAATTCTCAAAAGGTTGTATGTACTTTGAATCAAAAATATGTATTAAACCTCTTTATTACCTACCTACATCTTCGTATGTTAGTTCAACTTTAGTAAATTAAATATTACTATTATGAATAGCCTATTTGACACTGACATTCCATATTATACACTCGCACCTAATTAAATAAAACAATCTTAATTACTACCTACTTATTAAATTTAATTCAAATTTATTGTAATAGTAAGTAGCAGTTCAACCAGCTGTCTTTTCTTTTACATAAAAACATTTTGTTATATGTTGTAAGAGCAAATATGAAGCGGGTTTCCACCTTGAAATCTTTCCACACCTACTAATACTGTATTTTTTCAGATATATTGAAAAGATGAAAAGTCTATTGTTAGCGGAGACGTTTCTTTGTAGTCATGATAAATCAAAATCACGATTCTTTTGAAACAATATTCATTAACGTGGTCATTGTAGGCAACTTTCAAGGTTTATTTTAATGTCCCAATTTTCAGTTTAGTACCTAATCGAAACTTTTTGAGTTCTATTAAAAAATATGATATTTAAATCTGAAGGTGCCCTAGGCTATTTATTAATGTTTTATTTCTTAAGAGGTTGTCTAAAGCAAATCACTTGGAAGCATATCAATTGATTGTTACCAAAACTATAAATAACAAACAACGTTAAGAGTGTAAGAGACCACAATGGGCTTAAACGTACAACTAACTTTGCTTTTAAATAATTATCTTCTTTTTTAACATACAAATTTTAATTTGAATTTGCTAAGCGATGCAAAACTTTATACGAGTGATTTTACGATAACTCTTAAAATATTACTAATTGATTTAATAGATTCCAAAACTGCTGGATCGAGTTAATAATTTAGTTAATGTTTATAGACAAATTCTCGTCATCTTATGGATAACACACCCTTAACAATAATTAAGGCTGTGCAAAAAAGGTTAACTCCCGGTAATTTAATGATATAAAATAGTTATATTTATAAATTCCAATGATGTCCAATTTTAATTTGAGTTCATTTTCTTTAATTTTATTCTGCAGTCGCATTTAATCAAAAAAATATTATACCCCTGTATAGAATTATAAGATAATTTTACTCCTGTTATTTTGATGATTGATAGAATTGAAAATTCACTGTGACAGGATTATAAGGCTGTTTTCTCGCGTTTTCGCTCGCGTAAATTATAGCATATCGTCCGGTTTCTGAATTGAGATTTTAAAGTTAAGCAAGTCTCAAACCTGGCTCAAGTACGCCATTTCAAACGTCACTTAAACAGGTTTTCGTTTCTGATTTAAATTTTTTTAATGATCTGTTGATAGCAGTTGGATAAAATTAGGACTTTTTGCCAAACTGTAAAAAAAATAATTTATTGAGAATAATCAGCTGAGATATTGTCCTTTTCACAATTCAGAAACCGGCCGTATGTCACCCGCGTATGATGTAGCTTCCCATAGGTGTAAGATTTTAAAATCTTTCCAGTAGCTCCGGAGCCTATTCGATGCAAACAAACAAATTTTTCCAGTTTATAATATTAGTATATAAGTCTAGCTTGTACGACAGTATTGCTACCATTAAAAATTACACTTAAACAAAGATCTTCTTTTGGCTAAATTAGTTACATATGAAATATAACAAATTAAAAACTACACGGCTCAATAGAACTTATTGCTTTGTTTAACTTAATCTAACATTGCGTTATCTATGCTACCTCATACTCGGCCACAAATAATTCGACGTCATTATCTCTATGGTTATCTTGTAGTGCCTAATTGCTATATTTACCTAACAAAGCCGAATTTATTCAGTCCTTTGGTGTTTAATTATGATAATCCTAAATGAGTCAGTAAAGTAGGATCTAAAATACATTCTCAAATAAGACGTAAGGTAAACGCAGGTATTACCGGGTAAAATCAAGGCGTTAAGGTTTAAACCTTCGAAATAGAATTCCCGATCGTAAAAACAGTTACTAGCATATATTTTCTGATACGTAGAGGCTTGAACTTTTGGAATCTATAAATATGTAGATGATTTTTTAGGAAATACATAAAGAAAAAAAAATTAAACATAAAATCCGGATGAAGCTATTACCGAGGTATGCTAAAGTCTTTGCAGCTAACACCGCGATTCGTGATTTTATTACCGAGGGTAGAAAAATAATAGGCATATTGGTTCCGTACAAAACCTTAAGTAAAATTATTGGCTATTTAAGTTTCAATCAACAATTTTTAACTCAGATAAAGGTTTTTATTAAAATCACTATATTACGGACTTATTACCTACTACTATTATTACAATGGCACTTATAATAAATAAATAATAATAAATAAATAAATATCTATTAAATAGAAACTTTTTTTCGTATGATTAACATGTTATTTTGAACATATTTGTTTATAAAAGTAACGAAATTGTTACGTACTTGTTACGTAAAAATTAAATCCTGAGTTAGAAAAATCGGTAGGTATAGGTGAAAGTAGGGTTTTGAATTTCACATGAGGTACTTATTTATTTCTAGAGAACCCTAAACTCAAGAACAAGTGCTATTATCAATCGGTATTAGAATTCTATAGTGAAGTTAATACCGAGTAATAACACTCGGTGATAGCTTCGTGAACAAGGTATTACCGATTGATAGCTTGTTTTCACCATCGGTGATAGCTTCATCCGCGATAGTGTAAATAATGTTATTCCAAGGGATAAAATTTGATTAACTTTTAACAATACAAAAGTTTAAACGATGACTAATAAAGTTACCTAAACATAAACAAGATTTTTTAATTAAGTACTTAGGTTTAAAATACAGACTGGGTTATCATGTCGTATTAATTTAGTGCCCTCATACAAAGTTAACTTTCCATGGTTTAATGTAGGACTACAAAATAAGAGTTCTAACGAATTTTCATACTGCAGAGATTGTTTTTTACGATAATTACCTAATTATGTGAATGAATTACCAAACCATCTGTATTGCTTTTATATAGAATTTTATAATAAAATATAATAAAACTATTAGTATTATATTATGCTATTACCGAGTATATCGCGGTCAATAAATTCAAGAAGATAATTGTGTAGCTATCACCACTGTATTTTATTTTTATTTATTGTCGAAAAATAATGCAATATAATGGAAAATCAATTAATTACAATAATGGCTGAAACTATAATCCACTTTGTGACCTAGTTTGAATCTGTATATATGGTTTCTTTTAGACTCTTCAATACTTAGCAAAATATTGAGTGCACTTACGTATGGTGACTTGCGTTTATATGGACGTCATGCTCTGGCACCGGCTGGACGCAAACTAATATTTTTTTTTGTTTTTCTGATTTGTTGTGCATAGTGTGCCACGGGTCCATTTAAACGAATATAAATTGATCTTTCATAAATGTTTAATTTTTTGAGAAAAATATGCCAGCAATTGCCAAAATTACAATTATATCACATACCTCGGTGATACCTGCAGATTTTCGACTACTGCGGTAATACCTGCGTTTACCTTAGGCTTGCTTCGGAACATTAAGAATATGTCTGTTAGGTATGTTATAAGTTTTCTCTGAAAATGTTATACTTTCGGTCAGTTGCACAATATTGGGTAATATTAATTAGTAATAATTTTATTAAGACTTTTTAACTCTTATTGTTTAAAAATATATATGATTACCTTCATAGCACTCTTCTTTTTATTATGTTCTTATTTTTATTTTATCCACGTTTTAAGTTGAGTAGAAAAGTATTTAATTTCAAATGTGTTTTCAATTTCAACAAACAGATTTACTATTTGTCTCATAATGTTATCAAATTGTTCGTATTATAATGGGCATTAAAATTTCGATATGCTCAGAGTCAATCATTCCGTATAGCGTTGTTTGGGTTACCTATTCAGTCCATGTAAATAAACTTGATAGTTAATTTAAGAAATTAAACAGGGCGCATAAACTATTTTTGTTTGATTTGCTATGTCTGTTGATGATATATTACAATATAGCCCCGTATTTTAAGTTTTAAATACTAATCGTCAGATGAGTATTCATTAATTTATTATATTAAGCATGCTTTGTAGTTCTGGCAGTATAAAATGTCTTTAAAACGCATGGTGCGCTGATTTAATGCCCAGCAGAGGGGACAAAAATAGGCTGATAATGATTATGGTAGATAGATATTCTACGAGTATAGACCTTTTGAGTTTGAAAATGGCTTTTGCGAGTTTGACTTTTATGATCGTATTGTTATTTTTGTGATTCACGTGAACTGTATTATAAATTTTGTTGTAGTGTCAACAGCTGTTATATTACTACAAAATGCCAAAGCTTTCCAGTGATTTTTAAGAGTTAATTATTAGTTTTTTATTGTTACTTGTCGCGTTGTTGTGACTACTTTATATATTGATTAGTTATCAGAGATTTATATGTATTTTTAAACCGACTTCAAATTCCAAAAGGCGGAGGTTATATGCTCGACCGCGATGATTTTTTTTTATGTACATATGTTCACCGATATTCTCGCTAATT